GCAAAGTTTGCTTACCCCTGCGCTAATGTAATTATGGGGGAAAGTATGGTCGTCACAAAAGCTGGATTTATACATGTCTGCTTTTGTACATCTTCATTACATAGCTGATTGATGGGCCTAGTAACCTACACAATAAAGAAAAAGGTTATTTGTACTTTCCTTTAAGCTCACAGGAAGTAGCAAGAACGTGGCATTTCTGGCATGATCAACAGGTACTATCTGTACTAGCTGAAAATGTTCTAAAAAGTGAAAGCTAATGCAGCAATATATTCAATTTTTGCTTTTGGGTTTAAGATTTCAGTGCGAATAGAGAATTTTCATAAAAGCCATCCTCTCTTATATCTTGTTTCATAACCAGATTAAAATGCAGTGTTTACCATTGATTGCCCACAGACTGTATTGAGATTTAGGGAGAACAGGCTTAAATCCTCTACACAGGTGAAGATGATGTTTTTATGCTCTGATTATTACAGGTGCAGACCCAAGTCGGTGCATTCCCTGTGTGCTCTTGAAGCTTATTTAGTGATGCCTGGTTCTTGGCATATCAAAAATTTACTCATCTGAAGGGCTCAATGCACAATCTTGAGCAAACGAAGCATCCAATTAGATAATATGTATGTAACTGGCAACAAATATAGAAAGTTGACTTTTTTATATTACCTGAATTTCAAATCCAAATGGCTCATTATCCTGTTTTGCAATAACCACTATTCTCCTGAAATACAAAGTGAAAGAAAACTAAATTAACAAACATTAACAAAAGTAACTGATACATTTAACCCCCACCAATTGAAAATTAAGATCCTCAAAACAATCCACGTTATAAACTCAGAACAAACCTTATTGTTCTTAGCAATGGCATATTTGTGGTTTGTCACATTATACCACAAAGATTCCTACACTATACGTTGAGTTTAACGCTTTTATTTTTTTGGCAGAAGGAAAGTGTATCTCGCTGGCTTAATCACTAATGCAATACAAAGAGCAAGGATGTACAATAACCCAAAGCATTGGATCAGATTTCAGTTGGCTTAAAGCATTTCTGTAAAAGATGGTGTCCAATTGGTTGCTGTGGGTTGCTGTACTTTACAAACTGATTTTCATGAAAGGGCCGGTCCCTTTAAAACTCATATTCTAGCATTTGGTAGATGCTGGAGTGTTTAAACAACTGACTTTTTTTTGTATCTCAGAAGGACTTAATTGGTATATGGACCTGACCACCTGCTATGGCCGTTATGAAGTCACCATTTAAATGTATTAAATATTGAGAAACATTAAATGGGTGATCAATAACACCCAAAATTCTAAGCTGGACAGGAGCAGAACAAAGATTTATGATAGATCTTGCTGTTGGAAGACCCAAAACATGTGGGTATTGAATTTTATTGGCAGGCGCTTCATAGCCAAGTCCTCTTGGCCAAGTGGTGGCTCTTAGGCCTCCTGGAGCCACTAAGTTTTGTTGCAGGACATTCTCCCAGTTGTACTTGCTCAAAACAGACTCCAGATTATTGGGAAGAATGGTGTCCAAACCTTCCTAATTAGCTCCTCTTAGTCTAATGTAGCCTAAACTTTACTCCAATAATACCAACACTGATGATCTTCAGATCTTATCTTAGTGAGCTAAACTGCCAAAAGAGTAAGATCTTTTGGCAGTTTACACATTGTGTGCCGTCTCCCATTACAGAATAATAGGCAAGGGCACTCAGAGATAAATAACACTTGGGCCAACAAATTCCCAATCTTTTTTACTGCAGATTCTTTTTTAAGGAATTCACTATTTAAACTCTTCGAGGAATGGGCACACGTTTGCTAGTCATCATATGCATATGCTATTTAAAGTAAAAAACACAAAATCCTGTTACTGAATGCACAGCTTGGCTGTACAGCTTGGCAGGAAGGCTGATAATCCACATGGGAATTCAGTTCTGTAAAACTTCAGTAGCCTGATTTGTGGCACAATGGTTTCTACAGATGTCCTGCACAATACAAGGCTATTGCAGATTTGTGTAGATCTAAATGACGCAAGCAGTGAAAGTAATCAGTAGTAAATTCAATTGTTGGTGTAAGAGCTGAAAACTGGTGGGTGATGATGACTTTTGTCTTGACTAAAGTTCTCTTTTACAACACTGGCAGGTGTCAGGGTGTGCGCTCTCTAAAGGTTTCACTATGACTAAATACTTCTTTCATTTACTAGTTCATTTACTGCCAGGCATAAAAGGTCAGTCTTATTCCCACATGACTTCTGCCCAGGCATCGATCAGCTTGTAGGCATTGTATAAACTGAAAGGAACGTAATGGTCAAACTGTAGTCCTCTAATACCCACAATAGTAACCAGGACAAATAAAGAGGGTAAATCTGCTTAGCAGGCATACAGAGAGCAATACAAACATGGCAGGGTTTTTAACCTTTACCTTCTCTATCCAAAACTTAAAAAAGTATTGTCTATAAATACACTTTCACTGAATTATAAGACTAGTATTTTTCACAACCAAAAAGCTTGGCGAAATTATGTACTCCAGAACCCAAGAGAGAAAAAGTACAGTAAAGAGAGAAAACTTGAGTTGCAAGTAAAGTGGTCTCCCATAGACATGAGATCATCACCCAATCTTAAAAAAAAAAACAAGTCAGGTGACTTACCCCATGTCTGTGGGAAACATCTGACCTATTTAGGTCTATGTATTCTACTCATGTCTATGCTGAATATGCTAACACATCGTTTTGCTGTGTTGGTGTTACTAGAAAGAGGGCTTGTTGGTTATTTTTGGAAACTGGGACTTTTCCTGACATGTATAGAATAGTAGATGTGCATGTTAGGTAAACCAAGTATCATTAGAGGTGATTGTTCAGTTTTGGTGGCCTTTAGAGTAAAGATAGATGTGCAGATTTCTCAGTGAGAACCATAGATATGGCGATAAAAAGTTTCTGGTGTTTTCCCCCACTCAGCTCAGTGTCAGGATGCAGCTCATGCATGGTAAAATTTGTGCTCCTTTTTTGTTATAAAAAAAAGAGAACAGTCACTGATTGGCTGCTGAGATTTTCTAACAAACCAAAAACATTTTTTTCACACCCCAGATACCGGGGTTGATTTACCAAAGGCAAGTTGGGTGTTGACTTTGCAACGGAATGTATACTTTGCAGGGGAAGGTTCCCCTTAGCTTGGTAATTGGTGAAATTCCACTTTGCAAAGAATACCCAATTATGTGCAAGAACAATAAAGGGTGATGGAAGTCAGCAAAGCTTTACCTCATTCATTAAACCAATGGGAAACCTCCCCTGTAAAAGTTTAAATTTCTTTGCAAAGTGAACAGTCTATTTGCCTGTAGTAAATCGACTTCACTGTCCCAATTTTTCCTCATCATGTTGATCAAGTAACAAGCAACCACTTTTAGATGCAGTTAGAGACCTTCAAAAACTCCCCTGTAAATTAAATAACTACACAGTCATTAGACCTAGCTAATTCTGCCACAATACATGAAGTAGTAATTAGGTAGGCATGAAGATATGATTACTCCCTCACAAGGAACCTATTGTCTAAAGTTACTTTTGGTTCTGCACTATCCTTTAATCCTTTACTGAACAACCGCTAACACTAAAACAAAGAAAAAAAACAACTATACATTTGAAAGAACATCTGTACAGAAACCGAGAATTTAGACATGTATATGAAACTGATATATTAGGTAAATGCTGGATGTGTGTTCCCCTTTACTGTCTCAAATCTTGTGCGTTTTCCTGTCTGGGCTAGTAGCCAGGTTGTGTTTAAGCTTTTTTTTCCATCTGTGTCTTATCGCTTTGTGGCTTTTCATTGGCTCTGGTCTCATGGCAGGGCTGCTGCATCTGTTTAAGTTATGGCTAGATGCGTCGAGCTTTTATTCATGTCATATGGGATTTGCATTGCCATACAGAATGCAATACCCACTTGAAGCAGATCAAATGCAGGTCAAAAGGAGCCTAGCTGCAGTTCAGATGTATCCGTCACTGGATTCTGAATGATCTTAGAAGCATCTCAAACTGATGATCAACACTAGCCCAAAGCCGATTTTTACACAGTAGCTGTTTCAGTACCTTCAGGATCCCTGTATGTGCGCACCAGCTTGTGGCCTTTTGACTATGGCTGGTCATGCTTGTAAGCCATTTTGCATGGCTGTGTTAGCATGCATCGGCAGATATGCATTAGCATCCAGTGGGTGCATCCCTGATGCTGGATGTGCATGTCTTACTTTCTGGTGGCTGGCGCTGTGTCTTCCTACCATATGCGCATGTGAATAGATTGCATACCCAATAGATGAATACCCATTGCTGACCCAGATCATTTTCCGGTCACCAGCCTCTTTTTCCGAGACTGCTTGTTCCTGTTAACCTCTTGTTTGCCACCCACCTCAAACTCTGCTGAACTCCAACTACTCTCTTGTCTGCCTCAACCTTGCTAACTCATTCCATACTATCTCCTAATCATAGCCACTATGCTCCTGTGATCCCCTTGTGGGGAAAATCCAAAGGCTGCGACCTGGTTTTGTCTTGCAGCAAAGTAGCCCGAGGGTCACTAGGGTCTAAGACCCATAACTCCTTGTGGGGTGCTTTGATGAAAACCATTGGTCACTTAGACTCTGCACTTTGGGGGATCTTGCCTCACCTGCCAAGGATGTCACCCATAACAGTAGCCCCTGTATGTTTTTGCATTTGGGTCTGATCTGATCTGTTTTGGCTTTGATGTATGACCCCATTTGTCTGTCTTTATTGACTCTGACATCTTGTCACTGTCTTGACTGTTTGTGTATCCTGTTGCTGCTGGTTAGTGTTCTGTCTGCTCTCCTCTGTGTATCTGCCCTTGTTCAGGTAGGTCATACGTGAAGTTGTTCTCCCACACAAGTCCCTCCACACCTTCAATCTCTCTGAGAAGAGGCAGATGTTGTATGTTGCTGACCCTTGCCATGAGCCATTTTCCATTACCTAACAATGTTCTATACTCCTTGTGTTTCTCCCCAAACCCATACATGCTGTCCTGAAGGTCTGCACTGTGCTCAGATTTCTGTTCCTGATTTGCCCTTGATGACCACTATGCCCATGTCATCGATGTTCTTCCACTAAAGGAGTTCTAAAAATGCTTAAATACAGCCAAAAGTCCCTTTCTACCCATGACACTTACACTTCACCAACAGAGATCCTGCCACTGAGTAACAAGCTCCATCCACTGTCGGGTACTCTCTTGGGGAGTCCCCAAAATATTGAAGAATTCACAAGTGATTCATCCCACCATCCTTCATTCATACTGGAAATATTAATTTGCTTTAGCTGCTTAGTGAGACAATTAATCTGAATTCTCTTTGACTTCTATGGATTACAATACACCATTTCCTTTTATATAACTCAAATTTTTAATGACATGTCAAAGATGTGCGCTTCTCCCCTCGGGGTCTTAGTGCAGCTCCACTGCTCTGCACACTTAAAAGTAATGCATACTCATTAAATATCTTCAAGTATTATTTCTTTTAAAGGATGATGGTTTCTCAATTCATTTTTCATCATTTGTTATCGCCAAGTCCAAAAATTGCAAGTCAATATCTTAAATCACCATAGCATTACCTATATTCTATGAGGTCTACCTAGAGTTGACCCAAACATTAAAACTAAATCCAGATTAAGGGTGATTAAATGCGCATAATAGTGCCTGTTATCTGATAAATAGTAGATCACATGGGTCTGGTTCTGGATCACATGGTCTAAAGCAACAAAGACAGTGAGCTGACATCAGGAGAAGATCCCGCTGATGTCAGCACCCACAATCTAGAGCTACTATGAGTCACATGACACTAAGAAATGGCAACTTCAGTTCACATGACCAGGAATTGTACTGCCACAGGATCTACTTTTTATGTAATGACAAGTATGTCTTTTTTTAACAGTATGTTTTTTTGTTAACACTGCTAGCCTACCCTCTCCCCCAGTGTGTGATTAAAAGAGAACTATGGGGTTAAAGCTTTTCCCCATAGTTCTCCTTAGGGTAACGGGAGGACACAAACTAGCGTCCTCCCATCACCCTAGGCTCAGTATACCGCATGCTGTAGCTGTATGTCTGGATCTGCCCAGCTGCGTGACTGACAGCTGGCTCTGCCTATCTAGAGGCAGAGCCAGCTGTACCAGCCCCCTCCCTCGTCCGTTCCGCCAGTCAGCGCCGGGAATCCAGCACCTCCCCTGTCATGGCAGAGAGCCGTGACAGGATCAAGAGGTGAGCGAACGCCGGTATGTGTTCGCTCACCTCCCGATCTACTAAGCCGACCTGTGACAGTCTCATTGTCATAGGTCGGCTAGAACTATGAGGTGAGTGAAAAGCACTCACCTCATTGTTCTCCTTTAAATCAAATCTAATGTTACAGCATATGTCTACTTTAAGGAACCACAATATCCCAAAGCAGAAATGTGGAAGATCTACTAATAGAATTCGGTGCAGAGTTTGAGAAGTTTCAGATTTAGTAGCATTTTTAGCAGCCTTTTCCTGAAGGAAATAACAAAATGACAGCTGATAGTGTTCTTAATGCTGCACCTGCCATTCATCTCATCTCATTTATATCATCTCATATCTGCAAATGATCAGCTCTGGGCATCTACACATTCTTAAGTTCATGACTTCTCTAGTGCCCAGTCCTTTTTGTCTTCTGACTTATTTACTGGTCATATCCCATGATGATAGTCACAGAATCCAGACCAGACCATTCCACAATTGGAGCCCTCCTGTCCTCACTCATCCCTTGGTAGGGTGATCCTGGGGGCAGCGACCTGGTACCAGCAAGCAGCTAAACCTATCTCCACCATCAGAAGCTCTGGTGAACACCAACTGGTGCTTAGACTCTGCGCCTTGGGCGAGCCCGTGTCACCTGCCAAGGGGTGTCACCTTAACAGGATGACTTTTTGTTATTAACATTTGTTGATAAAACCATGGTAACTATTGTGTAATTTTATATTGTATTGAATAACAATCAGTTGGGTATGAATTATCATAGTTCTTATGTGAGGATATTTAAAGCTGAAGTGTGTTTTACACACATATACCTTTGCTTGTTGCCTCCAATCAACATGCGATTAAAAAGTTTCAATCAAATAATTTAGTTTTTCATTAAATACCTTTTTTTGAGAACCAGAGATGTCATCACTGAGTTTGTCTGCTGCTCTTTGGTTGGAGGAGCCAACACGCTCATGTGAATTTCACAGCATGCTGCCTCTGATATTTTTAAAAAGAAATATATGAAAGAACACACCCCCTGGATCTCTTTAGATGGCCCTGCTTATCCCTGCTGGCCAATGAGTGCTGCAGACTTTAGCTGAGCAGACTGTTCATTCTCAAATAATTCATCCCCTCACAGCTACCTCCTCATGTATAATTTCCCCCTCCTCTTTTAGATTGTAAGCCCTCAGGGGCAGGGCCCTCCTTACCATCTTGTCTTGAATTGTATTTTAATTGTAATGCCTTCCTTACATTGTAAAGCGCTGCGCAAACTGTTGGCGCAATATCAATACTATGTAATAATAATAATACAGTAATAATAAGTTGCAGGCACGTCTAAAGGGATGCCGGGGATGTGTTCTGTCATATGAAGTAACGCTCAGCAACAAACTGATTGATGGCAGAGAAAGCTAATAGCTATAAGAAGGGGGCCAGTGACAGTAAAGATCAGAGGGAGAGGTGACTAATGAATGATGGCGGTCGTTCAGACAGGAAATGAAGATGGGTTTCAAGATAGCTGCTTTAGCTTCAAAGGGTTATATTGTGGAGATGCAAGTTTGCAGGGAATAGAGAGTAAGCAGTTTCAACATGGGAGAAGACTTGCTACAAGTGTGGGACAAAAAAATAGGATTGAGTTCAGCTTTAATTGGTACATAGTAAGTAAACGTGCTACTAACCTATGTGGTTCTGTTCCCGTAGAGTCTATTAGAGAGTTTGATCTTGACTTGCCAAGCTGTAAATAAGGTATAGTGTGTTACTTACACAGGACAATACACCATACAGTTTTTTTTTTTCAAATAATCACTTAAAGAAGACCAGGTCATCAGATTTTTTGTTATTTTACTGCAGCGGGTTCACTGAAATATCATTTCTGAATAGATCATGCCTGCTCTGCTCATTAAAACCATGCTATTACTGCAGACCTGCAGACTATATAAAAACACATTATACGCAGTATTATAGATCAGAGACCCGCAGCAGCGCTGGAGAGAAGGATGAAAACTACAGGAAAGAAGAGGAAGATCAAATTAAGAGAGCATAAGGTAAATGCTTTAATTAACATTGGGCGGAGAGAAAAAAGTTTTTGCCTTTAATGGCACTTTAAGACTTAGCCTTTTCCTTTGATGTACTTGGAAAGTATTTAGCTGTTTTAAACTGAAGGTCCATTTGGGCTTTAAAGAAAACTCCCTTTAGGTTAGCAATTGATATGCATAAGTGCTACACAATTTAATAAAATAAAACATTGATTGGTTGCAAGCACACCTCTGCAAAACCGCTTTAGGATTAGATGATGTTTATCCCTAACCACTTGCTGCCACCTTCCACTGGCTCATTAACTGGACCTTAATAACAGGAGGAAGAGGTAAAGTCCTTATCATGTGAACACTATGATTGACTGTCACAGAGGTCACATGATTGGGAGTCCATCCCGCCAGCTCCCAATCATTTACAGTGACCGGGAGCTGTCTATGACAGCTTAGTCAGCGTCCTGGGAGCATGCAGTGAGCGCGCTCTTAGCACACAACAGTGGCAGCCGGACCTTAACACTCAAAAATCAAATTCTCTCATTGCATCCCTCTATGTAAGATAATTAATAATAACATGTCAGGTGTAAAATGCTGTGATTATGAAATACTTACACTTGCAGAGCATTCACTTCCTGCTCTGCAAGTGCAAAGTGACTTCAGTTTGCAAAAGCAATGCACACTGGGATTGCCTTGTCATCTGCAGAGCATTGCTGGGAAATCTCATCTCTAATCTCATGAGATCTCAGAAAAAGGCATTTTCCTCCCCGGAGATGATGTGCATGGTCACATGTCCTAGTCACATGTCTAGTCACATGTGCCAGAAATGCAGGAAGTAAATGGAGAGCTAGTAATCTGCCCTTAGTAAACATGGCCACTGTCAGAAGACTGGGGAAGAAAATAGAAATAAGATATGCAAAGATTATAAAGCCGACAATTATCTAGAAGTATGTGTTTGTAGATTGTCATTACTAAACATTTCTAAAACCATGCGGATGCATTGTTGTTATTTTAAAGATATGGGTAAAGGTCCGCTTTAAGGTGCCCCCCATTTTGCATATATAGACTTTATGCCAGGTGGCAAAGCTAACTAGAGCAGACCAATGTTTACATATCAACTATGGCATACCTGGTAACTTTCTGAGATGAGAAATAGGGCTGACTTCCAGAACAATTTAGACAGTATAATATAAGAGGAACAGAGGAGTTTGGTTCTAAATGAGGGTCAGTCCCTCCAAAAGAGGGTCTATTGATTTGGTAGCAAAGTAACACTCATGTTTTGGGGGAGACAACCCAAATTTTCTTATGGAGATTATTATTATTATTATTATTATTATACAGGATTTATATAGCTCCAACAATTTGCTCAGCGCTTTACAAAATAGTGGAGACAGTACAGTGACAATACAGTTTCAGAACAATAGGGTTGGGAGAGATATTTCCAAGAATTATGTTATTTTCTTCCGATATTGTGGGTAAAATAAAGTATTTTAATAGCGATATTGCTAATGCAGTGTAGAACGTACTATGACCTCCAGGTGCCACTGTTGTAGCTTTCTTCGCCTGCGACAAATTCAGCTAAATTCTATTTGAGCAGTGATGTTTATAAACATATTGACACAGAAACAGTGAATTGAGTATTAATGATGAACTGCAGTCTTGGAGGTGTTGCAGACTTTGCTGTGAAACTGAATGACAGCTACAGGTTTACAGTGGGAATGTTCCCGTTCCAAATAAGAAATGTTACAGTTGTGTGCCAATTAATTAGATTGCATCATATCACCAATCAGCATGTAATTCCTTCTCATGTTAATTATCCTTTTAGTGCTGTCACTGCCTACTCAGCTGACAATTAAACGTATTATTACCGCAGTCTACATCACAGAGTGACAACATCTGCCTAATGAAGAGTTAGAAGATATCTCTTCCTTCAGAAGACATGTTTCAGTCTGTACCACTGTAAGGAAAATGTGCACGGGGAGCATAGATAGGCAGCGTATTGGAAAAGGAATAATTAAAGTGTAATGCCAGATAAAGATACAGATGAAACGCAATTAAAGGATTTACTGATGAACATGTTTACCCCCCCCTTTTGATGTGTACATCAGGGGTGGCAAACTCAAATTCATCGGGGGCCGCATCAGCAGTATGGTTACCCTCAAAGGGCCGGTTGTATAGGACTATGCATCTACTCTTTATTATCATAAATAGTTGCCTCTGCATTCAGTTGCTACTGGTTTTATAAACTGCGCGTTTATTCGCGTGGGGCTGGTTTTATTTTTTTCTGTTTTTATTTACTTTGTAAAAAATGTTCATTTGTTTTATTATTTTTATCGACCTTTTTATTTTTTACATTTTTATTTAGTTGCATTTTTAATTATTTTTTACTTTTTCTTTTTAACTATTTAAAAAAAAAAAACTTTTTATTGTATTGCTATCACACAGGGAATAATAATCCCCTGTGTAATAGCATTTGGAGGTGACAGGTACTCTTTATTGACCCTGTCACCTCCAACACAGGAGTTCTAGCATAGCACTGTTGCTAGAACTCCTGTGATAGGAACGAGCATCGGCCGCCGGGGACAGAGGCTGGGGGAGGTGACAGAGCCTGTCACAGCTCCACCGTCTGGCTTCGTCACTGCTCCACGCCCCTCGCTCCGTCACGGCTCCACGCCCCTCGCTCCGTCACGCCCTCTGCTCCGTCCCCATCTCATTCAACGCTTCGTCCCCGCCCCCCGCTTCGTCACAGCACCACGCCCCTCGCTCCGTCACGCCCTAGCAGGTGTGTTGTGCAAAGCCCTGTATGAATTGCAAGGTGATGTTGTGTAAATTAGCTCTACGTTGTGTCGCTTGCGTTGATGAATGCAGGAATGTAAATGCATGAGCTAACCATTTTTGTCTAAACTGTGAAGCAGCATTATATATGCATCATGTGCATGATTTTTCCATATATGGCATTAGTGGAAATATGCTTTTAGAGACTTTTTGGTTGATAAATAAGTTTTGCTGTGTAAAACTCACACGCACCTAGTGCATGCGTGTGTTTAGGTTAGTAAATCACCCCCATGATCTCAAAGAAGAGCTTTCTATAAGATTTGGGAAATAATTTGTCTAATCAAAATAAACAAATAGAATTTCTGAAGGGTTTTGGGTTATTTTAGTAACGCATTGCAGCTGAATCCTGATACATGAGTTAGTCAATCCTTACATTATTTTCTATTGACATGAATGAAATTATAACCTAAAGTAACACTAAACTCAGAAGTTAAATCTTAAAAATGCATTCAAGCACCTTAACTAATAATAAAATGTATCTTATTTGTGTATCACTCGGCTGTAGATCCTCAAATCATCTCTGAATTGGTGCTGACACTGTCCTTCCTTCTGGAGGGGGGCTACTTGTGTTCCCCATGGTCCCTGTGTGTGTGTTGTAACATAGTATTATTAGTCCGGCTACTTCAATGCATTTTTAGGATTTAGTTCCTGTGTTTAGTGTCACTTTACCTCCAAGCAAACTAAATACATCTGATGTACTTTAATTGTTCTACCTGTCATGGATTTTATATTTCTGCCCTTCCAGTCCAGAGATTTACAGGGTCCTGCCAGGCAGCAGAGCCATGTTGATGACCTGACTTTCTCTGCTGACACTAAGCAACAAAGCCAGGTCACTTTACAGCCCCCAGCCTGTCACTGGACAGTAAAGGAGAAGCAGCAAACTAATAAGCTCACCCCTATGTTAACTCTGCTCTCTTCTCACTCACTGTATTGCACCCCTAGCAATGCTCCTCTCCCCCTTAATTTCCTCTACAGGGGATTACAAGAAGCTGATACCTAGTCAAACTCAGGTTCTTACACTACTTGCATTTAAGAATACATTTACCATCTCTTTAATAAATGCACAGTTGCATTACTAGGTATAGTGTTATAACTGCTTCGGGTTCAGATTAAAAGGAAAACTACAAAGATAAATATTTAGGTTGCCATTAATAAACCTCTCTTTCTAAAATGATAGTTCCCTGGCTGTGCAATGGATTTGAAAGTACTTTCTGGGTTATGGCTCTGGAACAAGTGTGCAAATCAGGAGCTTGTTGCAGGTCAGAGACAAGGACAGTATTAAAGCCAAAGACAGGCAACATTTTCAGACATTGGTTGGTAATGGCGGACTGCATAGTACTGTTAGTACAGGTTCTCTTTAGGTGTACCTGTTAGTCTAAAAATATTGTGGTCACTGTTATCCCTTTGCTGTGTATAACCGAAAATGTTCAATAAAAAATAATTGAAGTTAAAAATATTGTGGGTTGTCAGGATAACAAAACCTGTAAGACATCTTCCCAAGACTGCTATAAGCCCATCAACAAATAGAACATCCTTCAGAAATTGTATAAGACTTTAGACCAGGTGTAGGAAATCTCGGCTCTCCAGCTATTGTACCTACTGTACAAGTCCCATGAGACATTGCAGGACTCTGACAGCCACAGGCATTACTCCCAGAGGCATGGTAGGACTAGTTTCAGCTGGAGTGCCAAGGTTGCTTATCCCTGCGTTTGACTGACCATGGTAAAAGGGTAGAGCTGGCCAACAACTATCAAAATATGAATGATCAAAACACCAGTTTAGAGGGAGGTAGTGTTTAAAAAATAATGGTTTACTGTTACATTAGATGGAGAATTATACGTAAAATAATGAATAAGCTATTAGTTAGGTTTAGCTTTGGCAACTTGCAAGTCTCATGTTGCCAAAGACAAGTCCTATAATGCACTCAAGGCTAGCTGATGTCTGGTCTAGATGGTACTAATCGTCCTTTAGTATCCGCAGGACATCCAAATTGCCAATATTTATATATGAAATATTAATACTGAGGATCAAAAGCTGACTTACCTGCTTGTGTCCTCGCGGCAGTGTGGCCAATGCACCTGCCAGGCTGTGACTTCGGTTTGCATCCAAGACAGGGCTGAGCAAGGTTTTGGAACAAGCTTCGAGGTGGCTGAAGACGCAGTTGCCCAGCTGTGGTCCATCCACGACTGCGGACCTATGTCTGGTCAGAGACATTTTGGGTCTTCAAGCTACTTTCATTTAGAGACAAGACATGACTGCTGCAGTAAAAGAAAAATACAATTGCCTGTTGGTAATGAGAACGGAAATGTAGCCTTTGTGGTTTCCTATGTAAAGCAAGTAAATCTTTTCTGGTACCAGGAGAGCATTCTATGTCACATTAACCCTTTCACAGCATTATCTGCTGACATGGACCATGAAAAGTTTGCCGTCAGCCACCTATTGATGGTTGTTTATAGGATTCCAAGCTTTTACGCCTTTTTATTCTGGCCACTCACATATTGTGATTTTCAGGCAATTGTAAGCACTCTCATACAGTTTTCAATTACACAAACTGCTGAAGCTGTCCAACCCTCAACTCTTTAGATAATTCTGTGATGACAGTTTTCAATGTTGCCATTAGGCTTTTGTTATCCATTTGGTTATTCTGTATTGAAATTGGTTCAAAATTGCTATGTGATCAGCGAACAATGCTCGTTCCATATGGTATTTTGTGAGGTTGAAGGGAAACTTCAGAACACTCTCATTGAAGACACCTTCTTATGGTTAGAAAGTTTATCGATGTTACATTTTTAATGTGTTATTTTTAGGGATGTACCGATACCAAGTACAGTACTCGGTACAAGTACTAGTACCGATATTTTTCGAGCTCCAGGACTAGACTAGAGAAAAATTCAAAAGTTAGGAAGCAGCTGTCATTTGTAAGGAGCACACGGAGCTCCCGGGATTAGTACATCTGTTTACATGTATGATTTTGTTTTTATAAATAAAGGGATGCACCGATACCAGTTTTGCAAGTACGAGTACTGGTACTTGCCCAAGTACTTACAAGTACGAGTACTGATACATTTTTGTTTATTGTCGTCATGTGACAGTTTTTCTAAAACAATATCAACTAATGATTTCAGGACAGTGGTGGAGCGCCAGAGCCGGGTCCCAGCTGCAACTTCTGCAACCCTGGTAGTTCTCATGAAAATGCCAAGTATCGGCATTGGTACGCGAAAAGTATCTGTGATACCTAGTTATTTTACTAGTTTGCTGCTTTGTATTATTGTAATCTATGTGATACATAGACAGAGTTGTAGATTATGCCTCTAGTTCCAACATTACAGCACATTTGTTCAATTCATTAGATAAATGTGGAGACAAAATAAAAAAATTGCATATATTCTAGTCAAAAGCAGTCTTTGTCCCCTTGTAACATAGTTTATTACCTGGTGATCCGGCCGGTGAGTCTTATTTTTATACTTCCTCCATCAGGCCAAGCTGCCAAGCAAAAGTGGAAGTAAGAGGTTAGGAACAAACCATTGAACACTGACAGGGGTGCTCATAACTAGGGATGAGCTTCGCGTTCGAGTCGAACCTATGTTCGACTCGAACATAGCATGTTCGAGCGTTCGCCGAACACCGAACATTATGGGATGTCCGCGGTCTGTTCGACCGCGGCACATCCCACAATGCACTCCGCTGTCCGAAGCGGCAATTGGCTACAGTCCTGCACCTGACCGAAGGTCAGGTGCAAGACTGTGCCAATCAGGGCTCAGTACAAATATAGAGCCATGATTGGGCAGAGTCACGATGACTCTGCCCAATCATGTCTCACAGCTAAGTCCCTGCAGCACACTATATAAGGCTGCTGACACCGCGGCCCTGTGTAGTGTGTTGGAGATTGAGAGCAATATAGCAAGCGAGCAATAGAGCAATACATACATACATACATACATACATACATATACATAGAGAGAGAGAGAGAGAGAGAGAGAGAGAGAGAGAGAGAAAAAATATTTTTTGGGGTTTTTTTTGCTTTAAATTTCATTGATTCCTGTCATTCAGGGCACTACCCGGATCCCCATACACTTTTTATGGCCAATAAATTGCATATAAGGCTTCAAAATGGGGACCTTTAATTTTCTAATTTCCGAGTTCTACCCCCATAGACTTGCATTGAGTTCTAAGTTCGAGTTAGAACTTTTTCCATGTTCGAAAGTTCGAGTTAAAACCGAACACGGGGGTGTTCGGCTCATCACTACTTATAACGATCAGCTTTTATTAATTTATTTCAAACCTTTATCCCAAAATTAAAAATAAACTTTGTGTGTAACTGCTTAAAGTGTTAGCTGGAGGTAGGGTTTAATTTGTTACTCACCTATGTAAAGTAGATCTATATATCGGCCAGTCCATATAAAGCTGGTCACGCACTAAGCAAATTTTGGCCAGTTCTTGATAAACGGACCTAAATTTGCAATGGGTGCCATGTTTGCTGCCTCCCGCCCAACATCCTTTGATCGAAAAAGAAAAAAGTAGCCAGGCAGAAAATTGCGTACAAATGTTGCCTGCGTTCAAACAGAGGCAGGTGCAGTTCAGATATTTTGACAGCCAGTAGGACCGACTGTCAAAATACAATAGCTGCAGTGGCAGATTCCCCCATCTGCACTGTTTAGTGTGAATGGAGGAATCTGCAGGCTGATCGAAAAACACCTCTAGGTGAGCATCCTAACCCTACCCTCTCCACAGGGTGACAAAGCCGCTTTCCACAGGTGGCTACGTTGCTCCTCCACAGATAGAGTGGAGGGTTGAGAGTTGTCACCCTAGGACAGGAAGTGTGTTAGTGGAAGGATCACCAGGTGAAAATAAAGGAAACAAGGCCTGAAAAAGAAAACTAATGCAGCCATCATATCTAAGAACTGGCAAGAGCTGGCAAGCTGCAATGAATTCACTCTTTGGTTTTGGGTTTAGATGCACTTTAATTACAGGATGAGCAATCTACAGATTGTCTTGCTATCAGTTCGTGTTGATGACTTCCATTAAATGTGTAAATCCCCAACAATAGACTTCTCTCCCTTTAAGTTTGTTATATAGACAATTTAAAGCATTTTATTATATCCTTTCACTAAATGCAAAAATACCTGTTAATCTTTTTATGTATAGCTTTTTTGTACCCTGTTCTTTCTGCCCTTGTTATCTCGAGGAGTGTAATAAGCCCTCTTAGTTCTTAACTTGAACTACAAACAAGTCCACCCTTATGATGGGGATAGGAGGCGAGTGGGAGGATTTCTGTAGTTTACCAAGTGGCAGCTTGGCAGGGCTGACACCTTTCCTTGTGATTTGAGTCTACAAAAGGCTCTCTGTTGTCAGGCACAACAGAAAATTAGGAGCTGGGTGCATTTATTGCAGACCAACAGGTATTGTTCTGTTCTTGGTACATGTCGGGTCTTTGCATAGATTAAACCTGTGCATGCATTGAGGAGATAAAAAACAAAACACATATTCATTATAACAGAGTATCTCAGGAAAGCTATGACGCTCGCTGACACATGCAAGCACTTGCTTAATTGGTCATTGTGTTTTTTTTATTGGAAACATGGTGCCCAGAATGTTAGAATGTTTTTGTATCATTTATTTGCTTTTTGTACTACTGTTAATCATTATGTGATTAAAGATAAATCATTCTGTGATTAAAGATAATTACGGTAAAAATGTTCTGGTTTAATCACACACAGTGTAGTATTACAGCACACAGAAAGGGACTGATTTAGAAATGTTGTGCATATTGTTTGCATGGCACTAGAGCCCCTAGATGGCACTAAGGAGCATAGGAAGTTTCTCAGCGCCATCTAGTGGCACTTCTACTGAGCGATCGGCATTCACCCAGCTATACTCTGGGCGGAACATTTCTAAATCAGGTTTAAAAAAACGCACATCTGCTACAATATCACTTGTGGCAAGGTAGATTTAGAATATTTCTGTATTTACCAGACACAGCGATGCTGCATAAGTGACCTAACAAGAAGCTGAATTGAGTAGTCAGGTTTCTGCATCTTTGACCATGCCAATGCCAAAGGATCCCTTTCATACTATAATAGCAGAATGACTTCAACAGAGGCCTGAGACAATCAAAAACATTGCATTATTTTCTAATGGTAACAGTGTAGCCAGAAAGATATTAAACATTCCCTTCTGTGTAAGTGATGTAATATGTCTTCTTTTTATGTGTCTGGTATTAGTCTTTTTGTCCTTCTGTTTTTTTGCTTTGGTTGCTCCTTAACTAGTCTGCAGATTCAGGCTCTTCCTTCAGTTCTCTGACAGATTACTTGGGGCTTAGTGTTTTGCTCTGACACACTGTCAACGCACAGCTTCCGTTACCACCCCCAGCAAACCACACAATTTCTCACCATCACATTCATGTACTTCTCTCACACTTCACTGTGGACATCAGATACAGATTTAAAACAAAAACCAAACATTTGACATATTGCAGCTTACAAGTCCTTTAACATGGTGGCTGTATTCGGTTTTTTTTTTTTTATATATATATACACCTGGTGATCCAGCCAGTAACCCACTTCCTGTCTTAGGATGGCTCCACTCACTCCTTCACTGTATCTATGGAGCAGCAATGGAGCCACCCTTGGACAGCAGCATTGGTAGCCAGTGGAGAGGTTAGTGCTAGATGGACTATTAGATTTACATGGACTTTACAGAAGTGACAAATTGAAAGCAGAACTCTGGGCAAATCAAATCTTAACTCTTGCAGTGGGGCTACATCTGCACTGTAAGGGTTAAGAGCTCATTTTGTCTAGGGAGCTAAACCAAAAAGTTATACTCACCCAAACCGCAATGCCGGTTTGCTCTTAGAGCGGACCCTTGAGGGCTTGTTCACACCAAATGCGGACCAGATCTACATGAGTTTCTGCACATGTAGTGCGGTGTGTTTTGCAGCGTTTTTGCCACGTTTTTGATGTGTTCCGGGCCGTTTTTGTAAAAAAAATATTTATTTAGCCTAAAATGGGCTTTCGGTGCATTCCAGGGTGTTTGCATGCATGTATTATGCATTTGTTTGTTCCAGAGCAAAAAAATAAATAAATAGGGCATGCTGCAGTTTTCCCACATGCTCTGGAACTAAACGCTGTGGTATGAACTAGAGCCCAAAATACCATTGGAATACATTGGACGCAGTTTTGATGCGTTCTGTAACTGCTCTCCACCTACTTGGTGTGAACACTTAACCCTTGCATTGTGGAGGTAG